ATCGGATAATGAGTGAATGAATACTAAATAATGAGTGAGTGACTACCAAACCAATAAATAAAACTATGCTAAGATCAATGCCTCATGATGGCTTATGTATTTCTCTTCCTCTATACCTGTAAAAAATACGTTGCCATCGAGTCGATTCCGACTCATAGCGACCCTACAGGACAGAGTAGAACTGCCCCATAGGGTTTCCAAGGAGCGGCTGGTGGATTCGAACTGCCACCTTTTGGTCAGCAGCCAAACTCTTAACCACTTCTAAAATTTTCTAGGAATCCTGAGTGGAATTAGGATATACTTAATAAGACTTGCGGAGCCCTGGTGGTGCAGTGGTTAAGAGCACTCCCTGAATCTATTCATCTGTAAAATCAGAAACATTACCACCAATTTTGTATGATTATTGTTATGAAGCTGCAAAATTATCTACTATGGTAATCACCAATAGTCAAAGTATGGCTATAATAATTAATATCAATGTATGCTCAGTAAAGGAGCCTTGGTGGTGCAGTGGTTAAGCTCTCAGCTGCTAACCGGAAGGTTGGCGATTGAAACCCTCCAGCCACTTCTCAGAGAAAGATGTGGCAATCTGCTCACGTAAAGATTACAGCCTTGGAAACCCTATGGGGCAGTCCTACTCTGTCCTACAGGGTCACTATGAGTGGGAATCAACTCAACAGCAATAGCAGTTTGATGCTCAATAAGAAAACTGTTCTATGATTTTAATGAGTGTCATGGATTGAATTGTGTTCCCTCAAAAATCTGTCGACTTGACTGGATCATGATTCCTAGTATTGTCTGATGGTCCACATTTTGTCATCTGATGTGATTTTCCTATGTGTTGTAAATCCTGTCTCTATGACAGTAATGAGATGGGATTAGAGGCAATTATGTACATTCAATCTATAAGATTAATCTACAATTTAAGCCAATCTCTTTTGAGATATAAAAGAGAGAAGGACAGACAGGGCGACCGCATACCACCAAGAAAGCACTGGGAGCAGAGTGCGTCCTTCGACCCAAGGTTCCTGCACTGAGAAGCTCCTAGACCAGGGGAAGATTGATGACAAGGACCTTCCTCCAGAGCTGACAGACAGAAAGCCTTCCCCTGGAGCTGACACCCTGAATTTGCGCTTCTAGCCTCCTAGACTCTGAGAGAATAAATCTCTTTGTTAAAGCCATCCATTTGTGGTATTTCTATTATAGCAGCAGCATGACGAGTAACAATACTTGCTCCAGCCCTGTGTTTGAGCTCATGCTTCCTTTTTTAAATAGCTGCAGAGTTTTTATGTGCTGAGAGTTGCCATCAATAGCTTTGGAAAAAAAAAAAAAAAGAAACCCATTCTGGTTAATTAGTCTTAGTTTTACCTAAGGAGGTGCTGTTAATGGAAAGAAAAGAGAGCTGAGGAATAGGAAGAAAATCTGCTTTAGCAAATATCATATGAAAAGAATTAGTATATTTAGGTTATTCATCTTAAAGTCTCTACCATCCTTTATGCTCTGGCAATTAATAATAATAGTAACAGTTTTTGCTATTGATTTAGGAAATAATATTGGAGTTATTATTCACTCTCTTTGACCATACAGAATGTGACCCAGCTGGCGCTGGGCTCACAAGGACTCACAAGGACACATCAACTGGGCCCTGAGGTATAAAGACAATAGCTAAGATAATCTTGGAAAACATCTTTTAGGGAAACTCTCACATAAAGCCCATCAAACAGAACACAAAAGACTTTCCACTCTTTTTCTATTAGCATTTAGTGAATAGAAATTTGTTGGACCAATGAAGACCCTCCTGACTCTCATAACTGAAACCTGTACCAATGATTGTTAAGAAAGACAATTCAAAATGTAGGATCACAGTTTCTAGCCAATCTTAAAAGGCTAAGCTTTCAGTGGTTTTGCCCGTTTTTAATGTTAATATATACTGATGGCTCTGTAACTGTTCTTTGGACTTGGGCAGACACGGCTGTGGCAGCATGCTTGTCCGTTTTCCCATTCTTGCCTACTCTGCAATATTCTTTGGTCTTGGGCAGACATGGCTCTGGCAGCATGGTTGTCCGCTTCCCGCTTCCGCCCTTTTTGAATATAGGCTGAATAAAATTTTTTTTTTGCTTTACTAAACTTTGTGATGTTTTTTCCCCTACAACACTATCCTTAGCAATTTACCAATATTCACTCATTTAATCTTCCTACTAGCCCATGTTTTACACATTGGGGAAATTCAAGAGCAGAGAGTAACATAACCAAGGTCATGAGAGCAAGTGCTAGAGGTGCACTTTGAACTCGCACGTTCAGATTCCATAGACTGGGCAACAGACCAGTAGTCTTCAGTAACATCTTCACTTTGTTCTCTATCTTTCTTCCTTCACCCTCACTCTTCATCATCATCTGCCCAAGCTGCCTAAGCTGCCCAAACTGGCAAAACTGAAGTTAACACACGTCTTAGCTTCTCAGTGCTGCTATAACAGAAATACAAGTAGGCGGTTTAAAAGAACAGAAATTGATTTTCTCACAGTTCAGCAGGCTATAAGTCTGAATTCAGGGCACTGGCTCTAGCAGAAGACTTGGCTCCCGCTGGTGGAAGATACTTGTCTCATCTTCTGTAACTCCAGCTAATCCTTGGTGATTTCCATGTGCTATCTATCTTTACCCCATTTGTGCTTGCTCGCTTGTCTGTCTAATCTGTTCTTTTTATATCTCAACAGTGGTTAGATTTAAGACACACTCTATACTGATTATAGCCTTGTTAACATAACAAAGATAACCCTATTCCCAAATGGGATTAGGCCCCCAGGAATAGAGGTTAGGGTTTACAACACATATTTTGGGGGGCAAAATTCAATCCATAAAAATGTATCTCTTTTTTTTTTTTTTGCAAGTAGGATGCCTCTCCCATCAGGAGTAACCTACACTCACCCATAACCTAAGAATGTTCAAAACCTTCCAGCTTAGATCACTAAAATATATCCGGGCACATGACATGGAATGGTTTAATTTGGTTCTTCTTTCTCCTCCTTTGGCAGAGTCAAGTTTCCAGATAGCTGCTGTATAGTTTTATTGTCCCTTTTCGTTCTGGTTGTCTGACAGTATTAATGAAGACGTCATAGCTATTGACTAAAGCAAGCACCTTACACCAAGACAATGGCAAAAATGGACATGGGGATTTTTTTAATGAGCCCCAGGTGGTGTTTCGTTCTGTTGTACATGAGTCGGAACTGACTCAATGGCACCTAACAACAACTAGGTACCTTTTCTAAAGTGCCAACTTGTTATAACAAAATACAACAGGTTCCCCCCATATTGTTTAATTTTTTTTAAAAGTTGATAGGTGAATTCAATTTTGTCCTTTAACTACTACCTACTTCTCATTCTCCTTTGTCTGGATCCTTCTGAGGGAGAAAAAAAATTCCTTTTGTTGGCAAATATTCTTAGTCAACCAGAATACCTGTGTAATCCAAAATGTTTATAAATATATATATAATGGGACATTCGTGTGTGCAATGTGATGAATAATTGCTTTAGGATATACAATTCAGAACATATGTCATTACTAGTAATAATGAGGGACGTGGCCTCATTTCTGGTCTTCTAAGTGAAAGACTACTACCATATAATACTATGACTCAAAATGAATGTTACTTTTTTTTTACAACATTTTCATGAAACAAGTAACTTATTTAAATAGTGACTAAATTCTGCTTTGTTGCAGTAACTGTTATAAAAAATACTAGTGAGGTGACTCACTGTTAAAGTGCAATATTTATCACCTACCAGGCAATTATTAGCATGATTGAATTGGCATTAATGTGGTAATTATGGATTGTCAATTTCCACCATAGTGTCTTCTCACCTAACCAAGCATCGAGAATGTGTGTATAGGAGCAGAGGAAGCAGGAGGCCGTCAAATGAACAAATCCAGTTGCCTATCACATCCACCACCACAGAATGGTGCAAGAACATCTAGAATAAAAATGATGATGATGATGACAGCTAATATTTATTGAAAAATTATTCTTTGCTAGGGCATTATGTCAAATGTTTTACAATATGCTATCTCATTTACTGATTCTAACCACCCTATAAAGTATTATTATTAATTCCAATTCATAAAGGATAAAACTGAGAATTAAAGACATGATGTAAACTGTCCAAGATCACAATACTAGTGAGTAGCACAGATAGAATTCGAACTGAGGTAATCTGAATCTGAAGTTCACATGCCTAATAGCTTAATGTGACTCCAGGATTTCTCACCCTCAGCACTATTATCATTTGGGGCTGGATAATTCTTTGTTGTAGGGGGCTGCACTGTATTGTACAACACTATAGAATACTGAGAAGCTTAGCAGCATGCCTGGGCTCTGCCCACTAGATGCCAGCAGCACCTTCCTTTGCCGCCTTCCCCATACCCAGTTGTGATGGCCAAAAATGACTCCAGACATTGCCAATGTCCCCTGGGGAACAAAATTACTCCCTGTTGAAAACCATTGTTCTACTCTAACCTCTCTTTATGCTGAATATATAATCTCATGTAAATAAATAACCTTCAGAAATAGAATTTTAAAGGCTATAAAGCATTATATGGATATTAAATTAATGATACACATAAAAGATCAGATTATTTTATCAAAAAATTATGTTTGAAAACTTAAACCAATCATGTTCTTTGAAATCTAGTCCTCTGTTGTACATCAATGAAATAATAAGCAGGAGGTGGTGTATCTTGCAAAGACTGTTAACTTCCTGCTTTAAAATGTGTTGCCATTTTTCACCCGGCATCCTTTAGAATACAAACTGAATGAGAGCTGTGTCCATAAAAAATTTATTTTAAAAGTGAGAGTCTTTTTGATTACTGTGTACAGACACAGTCTAAGTCAACAATCAAATAAAATAAAACAGTATATATATGTGAAAATGAAAATAATTTTATTAGTCAATTTTTTAAATTCAGAATTCTATTTTTCCTAAAATGGGAAACAAAATTTGATACAGCTTTGGTTTTGTTCATTTTATAATATATGCTTAAATATATATTAAAAACAAGCATCTTCCCATTACTACTTACATCATTTACTAATGTGATATTAGCTACCTTAGGAAAGATATAAAAATTAAGGTCTGCATTCCTGAGGAAATTATTTTAGAAATAAGTTATACATAAACAAAAGTTCTTAAAATAAGAAAAGACAGTGTAAAGTAACTAGTATTTCGTATAATTTGCAATAAAGTAAAACATACGCACACACACACATACATATGCCGAAGTTAAGGAAGATAGTGAAATTCATTTAATAAGCACGTTTCATATAAACAATTTTTCACGAAGTTTACATTTTAAGGGTCCACATGAAAAATCACAGTATTCACATAGACTAGAAGCAAGAGACACCGGACAAAAACGCCAAAAGATATTTATGTTGCCAAAGTCTTACAACTTTTCCAAATCTTTTTAGGATTTGGAAAAAAAAAAGAAAGAACAAAAATCTGGTGCATTTTTTGGTAAAAACACACACACACACTACCCATGTGATTTTTGACTCTTTTATTCCTTCTCATCAAAATACCACTTTACTACAAATTATATAAAGTTTTAAATTAATGGTGTTCGATTTAAATTTCCTAAGAAATGGTTTACCTGTTACATAAAAATGGAGTTAAAAATATATCTGGCTAAATAAATTTTAAAGAGACCAGTGGATGTGGCTGAGTTTATAGACGATATATATTTAAGCAGTCATATTTTCTTTACATTTTCCTTGGGTGCAGTTTGGAAGTAACCTGCCTTTTAATAGCTTACACTGCACATCATGATCGCAATCCAAGTCAGTAACATCACAACAAAATTATCTAATACATACATGTTGCTTAGGACTGCAATGTTACCACAGTTACTGCCAAATCAAACATCTCAGGAAAAACAGGATCACCAAGTCTTTCAATGTGCATAAATTCATCACTTTTGATAGGTTGCGAGTCTTCATTTTTCTTCATTTGGGGGGTTTTCCACTTGATCTTTTGTTGTTTCTTCATCTTTCTTTTTTACATCTGAAAAAAAATTTTTTTTCATTATATATAGAATATACTGAAATATATTTTGTGTATATTGGAATAAAACAGTTGGTTTTTCCTTTATCCATCCTAATGACTTTCTACTTGACTAGGACACATTTTGCCCTTAATCCAGATGTAGAAACTACACAAATAAAAGAGGTGTGTAGTTTAGGAATCTGTGGTCTCCCAATTACCCTTCTCTAGAATGATAGTATCAAATATATTTTTATAGATTAATATGTGTCAGGAAGTCTTCTACAGTATTATTACAATCTCCATTTGCAGATGAGTAAACCTTAGTACAAACAGGTTAAGTGAGTTACCCACAATCAAAGAGCTGGTGGGTGGCAGAGTCACTATTTGGACCCAGGCTAACTGGCTCCGTAGCCCATGCCGTTAACCACCTCCAGTTTCCTCACACTTCCTATCCCGTTTGTCCTTAGGAGATGATTTTACTTTCTACTTCGAGCAGAAGGAAAAAAAAAAAAATATATATATATATACACATGGGAACTTCATACCACCAAGAAAGAAAGCAGTGCCAGGAGCAGAGCATGTCCTTTGGACCTGAGGTTCCTGCACTGAGATGCTCCCAGACCAAAGGAAGATTGATGACATGGACCTTCTTCCAGAGCCAACAGAGAAAGTGTTCCCCTGGAACTAACGCCCTGAATTTGGACTTGTAGCCTACTTGTCTATGAGAGAATAAATTTCTCTTTGTTAAAATCCATCCACTTGTGGTATTTCTGTTGGAGCAGCACTAGATGGCTAAGACAAGTGCTTTCAATATAATTGAATATATTTTCAATATATTCCTTCCACATGATTTCTGTAAGTGTAAAACATCAAACTTTCCTTTCAAACATGTCCCTTTCACTTCAGCTGCAAATAAGCTTTATTGAACACTGCTTATCTCATTTTATAGTCATAATTAATTAATAAGAACTTTTGAAAAAGTTATATGAATGCATTCATATTTCTTAATTATCTGGGATGATTCAGTTCTCTAGAAGTCTAGCTTTCAAAGGTTATATATACATGACATAAGCCAAAAAAAAAAAAAAAGTTGCCATTGAGTCAGTGCTGACTCATACAACCCCACGTGTGTCAGAGTAAAACTGTGCTCTGTAGGGATTTCCATGGCTGACTCTTCAGAAGTAGATCACCAAGACTTTCTTCAGAGGTGCCTCTGGGTGGACTTGAACCTCCAGCCCTTTGGTTAGCAGCTGAGTGCATTAACTGTTTGCATCACTCAGGGACTCCATATATGACATAGGTGTTTTATATATATATAGGTGGTAACTATGTTCTTTTACATAAAGACCACACTCAGAGCCCACTTAAGCTACATACTGAATTTTGCTTTTCATTAATACAGGTTTAAAATAATCAGATAGAAGTCTTTTTTTTTTTTTAATTACATTTTTGTGCTTCCATTATTATGTTCTGATCTTTGTGTCAATTGCTTGTTCCACTCATTGTTAGAACACGAGGTATAGTACAACGTTTTCAAGTAGTGCCTCACGGAACAATAATTATTCAACAAGTTTCTTCAAATATGGTCAAATAAATGTGGGAAGGAAATGCTGCATGTCCTCTCCTCAGAGGGTGTAGGCACAATAGCATGCATGTTAAAGGTCCTGTAACAAAGACTCTGAGAAGTCCTTGTTCAAAAAAGAAACACTCTGAGAAGTATAAAAAACTAATTATGTTTAAACCAACAATTCCAAACTTATTTGACCACAACATATTTTTGTATGTGACACATTAACATCCAGAGTTTCCACGAAACAGCCCTTGGAAAAAGGTGTAATGGTAAAGAGGAAGGCCTGAGAGCCACAGATTCTACCATCACCTAATTTTGTGAGCTTGGGCAAGTCACTATGAGTTGAAGTTGACTCGAGAGCAACAGGTTTGGTTTCATGGTTTGGGGCAAGTCACTTACCCTACTTGGGGCTTAGTTATAGTAACATCTATACATCAAAAAGGTAAACTTCTTAAGATTCCTTCTCCTTCTGTATTTCCATATGTACTTAAAAGATAACATACTCATAAGACTTGTCATTTATGGGATAATCTCATTTGCAATGTTCTTTAAAAACACGTATTTTATATTCCAAAGTCTACATCTCTGAGTAGTTTCTCTCAGGCCCACCAGACCTATATATCCAACTGCTTAATCAACATGTCCATGTCAAATGGAATATGGAGAAAATAGAAATCTTCACTCTTCCAACTCTCAAAATAGCCCTCCTCCAGACTGTCCCTTCTCAGTATATGGTATCCTCATCCATTCAGTTGCTATAGGAGTTATCCTTCATTAATCTTGTTCGTCTCCTTAACATCAACCTATCAACAAGCCCAACTGATTCTGCCTCTAAGACACATCCCAAATCTATCCAACTTTCTCCATCTTCAGTACATATTTGAAGCCATCATCTCTCACTGGACTACTGCAATAGTAGTCTCCATGGGTAAAGGGTTAAAAACAAAAAACAACCCTTTCTCTAAGGACAAATTTAACTTGGGGTTAATTTTCTAGCTCTGTTAATCTAGAAACCAGGTAAATGTGGAATGCCTGCCTGGTTACTAAGCTTATGGTAAAAACAACCTGAATGGTAAATACATCTCTACTGAAAAAAACTATATACGTGGACTATAAATACCTCATAGGAAACCATAGCATTGAGTTTCACCGAGGGCAATGACTCTTGTAACTTAGCATATCTCTTGCAGGTAAGATAGGAAGCTGTGTTCAAGGACTTGTTACAAAGTATTAGCTCCTGTGAGGCATGGGGCCTCTAAGCCAAGGTGGACCGTGTCCCCAGTGATGCAGGTCTTGTCTCCTTGGACTTGAGGCCTCACATGGGTGGGGGAGGGCAGAGACTAGTCCTTTAGATTACTATATGGGCTACTGCAAGGATTCCCATAGAAGAGATCTTGTGAGGCTGCCCTGCTAGACTGCTGTTTCTCAACCTTCTGAGTAGACTGACACCAAATGTGGTCTGTGGTGCTCTTGTCAGTCTGAATCTTTAATTGAGCCGAAAAAATTCTCTAACAGGGCTGCACCTCCTAATTCAACTATTATTCAATTATTGCTCTCCTACAGTCTATTCTTCACATAACAGAGTGAATGTTTTAAATACTCCCCTGCTGAATATCCTCACATTTAGAATATAATTCAATTTCTTCCCCCTGGATTACAAAGTCCTGTAAGATCTATCCTGTTTATCTTTCCAGCATCGTCTACCACTTTCCCTCTCACCCACTGCCCTCCAGCTAAACAAGTGTTTCCTGACCACTTCCATCTCTTTCCACTCTAAGAACTTTTCACTAGCTGCTCCTTATGCAAAGAACGCTCTTACCTCAGACTGTCATGTGGACAGATCATTCAGTTATTATTAAAAACATGATTTTCATTCAGATCTCAGTTAGAGATTCCCTAATTTCCCAATCTAAAGTAGCCACACAGTAAGCCTACCATAGCACCCCAGCCTATTTAATCCTCTGACAGCACATATCACTCATATTTTTCATGCTCAGTTAGATATTTGTTTACTTTCTAACTCTCCCCATTAGAATATAAAATCCATGACAGAAGGAGTTTACATCTATCTTATTCACCACTATATATACTACCAGTTTCTATAATAATGCCTAGCACTCAGTGGGCACTCAGTTGAATGATGGATCAAATGGACAGTTAGTGATGATTGGAGAAGAAATGGCTTTTTGTGATTTTTACATTTTCCTGGGCTGCCACCCTCTGTCACTTCTTCCTGAGATTTTATAAACCATCAATTCCCTCCCTACCATGATCATCAATTTTGAAGAGCTTGATTAAGACAGATTATGAATTTAGCAAATCACAGACAGGTTAATTTCATGGAGGATACAGGACCTTTGAGATTCTAGGTTTCCTTTCATTTAAACCAAACCAAAAAAACCAAACTATTTGCTGTCGAGTCGATTCTGACTCATAGTGACCCTACAGGACAGAGCAGAACTGCCCCATAGGGTTTCCAAGAGGCGACTGGTGGATTTGAACTGCCAACCTTTTGGTTAGCAGCCAAATGCTTAACCACTGCACCACCAGGGTCCCCTCCTTTCACTTATGAATATTAAAAAATAAAAACTAAAAAAGAAACAAGATAGATCTGGGAGATTCCTGAAGATCTTTTCTAGAATTTGTATTTTTAAAATGACTAAAGCATTGAAACCATAATGCCTGAGACAGACTCTCGCTTTCAGTTTTTATTAGCGATTGGGAACTATTCATTTTAGAATCCTTAATAATATGGACTATTTGTACTTAACTAGTAAGGAAGAGGATAAGCCTTAAAAACTACTTATTTATAGTTTTGTTAATAAATAATTATTTGTACTTAACTAATAAGGAAGAGGATAAGCCTTAAAAACTACTTATTTATAGTTTTGTTAATAAAGGATTGTCATCTACATATATAAGCTTATTTGTTTAAAAGTTAAATGTTCATAGCATTTTTAAAGAAACTGCTTTATTGAGATATAATTCACTTACCACAAAATTTACCTATATAAAGTGTGCAATTCAGTGGTTTTTAGTATATTCACATATATGTGCACCTACCACCGCAGTCAATTTTAAGACATTTTCATCATCACAAAGAGAAACCTTTTATCTATCACCTCCTAATTCCCTCAGCCAAATGGTCAGCCATTTGAATCCACCAGGCACTCCTTGGAAACTCTATGGGGGAGTTCTACTCTGTCCTATAGGGTCGCTATAAGTCGGAATCAACTCAACAGCAATAGGTTTGATTTTTTTTTTTTTTCCAGCTCTAAGCAACCACTAATCTACATTCTATCTCTATACTGTTGTTGCTATTGTTAGGTGTTGTCGTGTCCGTTGTAACTTACAGTGACCCTATGTACAACATAACAAAACATGCTTGGTCCTGCGCCATCCTCATAATTGTTGTTATATTTGAGCCCAGTGTTGCAGCCACTGTTTCAGTCCATCTCCTTGAGAGTCTTCCTATTTTTCACTGACCCTCTACTTTACCAGGCATGATGCCCTTCTCCAGGGACTGGTCCCTCCTGATAACATGTCCAAAGTATGCCATCCTCACTTCATAGGAGCATTCTGGCCGTACTTCTTCCAGGGCAGATTTATTTGTTCTTCTGGCAGTCCAGGGTATGTTCAATATTCTTTGCTAACGCCATAATACAAAGGCATCAATAAGGTTTTCCTTATTCATTGTCCAACTTTCGCATGCATATGAGGTGACTGAAATTATTTTGGCTTGGGTCAGGTGCACCTTAGTCCTCAAAGTGACAGCTTTGCTTTTTAACACTGTAAGGAGGTCTTTTGCAGCAGATTTGCCCAATGCATTATGTCATTTGATTTCTTGACTGCTGCTTCCATGAGCATTGATTGTAGATCCAAGTAACATGAAATCCTTGACAACTTCAATATTTTCTCCGTTTATCATGATGTTGCTTATTGGGCCAGTTGTGAGGATTTTTCTTTTCTTTATGCTGAGATGTAATGCATACTAAAGCTGTGTAGTCTTTGATCTTCAGTAAGCACTTCAAGACCTCTTCACTTTCAGCAAGCAAGGCTGTGTCACCTGCATATGGCAGGTTGTTGATGAGTCTTCCTCCAATCCTGATGCCACCTTCATCTTCATATAGTCCAGCTTATATTATTTTCTTAGCAAACAGACCGAATAAGTATGGTGAAAGGATACAACCTATCTCTACAGATTCACCTATTTGCGATATTTTATATAAATTGAATCAAGTAATATGCGGCATTTTGTGATTGACTTTTTTTCACTTAGATAATGTTTTATTCAAGGTTCATCTGTGTTGTAGCATGTATCAGTCCTTCATTCCTTTTTTGAATGAATAATATTTCGTTGTATGGATATACCATAATTTGTTTATCCATTCATCTGTTGATAGACATTTAGGTTGTTTCCACCTTTTGGCTATTGTGAATAATGCTGCTGCAAACATTTATGTACCTATTTCATTTTGTGCATTCTTCAACATCTGCTGTTATATGTGGACTGTATTTTTTTTTTTGGATTTGGAGTTTCTTAGTTGTTGCCTTTGACTTTATTTCAAAATTATTTAAAGGAAAATATAAAAATAAGACCAATGTTCTTTCAGATAATGGAGACTACTAACTCTCATACACTGTATCTGTTCTCTTTTGCTTAACTAAGCAATGTCAGTAAGTATTAAGGTGTTGTCTGTGTGTTTAAGGTACATAAAATTTAATTAGGCTTTTTATACTAACAAGTAATATATCCTCTCTACCTCACTAGTTTAAAATGGGCCATTCAACAGCAACATCATGTCCTGATAGTCATATTATGCTTTTAAACTTAAAAGGACAAATATATTTTACATGTTTTATTTCATTTCTTCCCTTCCTTTCTTCCCTCTAATAATATTTTATGTGTAGGACTAAGCAACTAAGACATAATTTGGTACCAGGAGTGGGTGCTGCTTTAACAAACACTTAAAATGTGGAAGTGGTTTTGAAATTGGGTTATGGGGCTAGAGGAATTCTGATGTGCTTCATAGTAATGCCATAGTTTGCCTTGAAGAGATTGTTGGTAGAATTATGGACATTAAGGGCAATTCTGATGAGGGCTAAGAAAGAATGAGAGCTGTTATGAAAGCTTCTATCCTCATGAACAAAGTGTTGCTAAAAATATGGACATTAAACGTGATCCTTTAAAAGGAAATGATGAACATGTGATTCATCATTATGCAGTGGCATAAGTACTTGTCTGAATTATGTTCAAATGTTTGGTGGAAGGTAGAACTTATAAGTGATGAACGTGGATATTTAGCTGAGATTTCCAAGAAAGATATTAAAGGGGCAGTGTGGTTTCTCCTTGCTGCTTACCGTATGATGTGGGAGGAAAGAGATGGAATTCAAAATTAACGGTGCAAAATAAAACCAGAACTTAAAGATCTGGAAAATTCTGTTGTTCAAACTAAGGACATGTGTCCTAGAACTCTCACCAAGGACATAGCTACTCAGTCTCTTGTTAAAGAGATTAAGCCTGTGATTGATGGATCTATTTAACCACGGAAGCAAAAATCCTGCCAGCTTAGACTGAAAGGGATAGAGACAGTACAAAACAAAACAAAGCTGCCTGCCTCCTGGAATTCTGCAGGCATAAATGAGCCAATGGAGTGACTTGGTTGCAAATATCTGTTGTCCTCCAAGAGAAAGAAGACACCACCCCAGGAACAGTTCAGAGATCAGTAGAACTGTTGGAAGGATCATGGCAGGCAAGACTGCCTCCATTTCAAAGAGTAGAAAAACTGTCTACAAGGTTTCTAAGAGTCAGCTCTCTACCAACTCAGTTTTGGAATGTGGGGCTGCCATTTATGTGGGCCAAGAGGATGGGGTAGCCATCTAAAGCTAAGTAGGTGGGGCTGCCATGCTCACAGGGCAGGAGAACAAAGCCTACTAGGGTGAAAGGGTAGGGTCACCACCCGGATTCACTAGAAGAATGGGTCTATCCAAAGCTGAGGAAGCAGAGTTGTCCCAGTAGGCCTGGAAGATGGGGCTGAAGCCCAGGCCAAGGGGCCTCCACCCAGAATCCAAAGAGTGTGGCCAACAGCCAGAGTCTGGGGGGTATGGCCATTGCCCAGATGGTCCTGAAGAACAGAGAATTATTTGCAAGCCTTGGAAGCTGATGTAATTTGTTCTGATGGGTTTTGGACTTGCTTTGTACCCATGTTTTTACTCATTTGTAATGGGAATGTCTACCCTATGTTCATTCCACAACTGTACTTTGGGAACAGATAAACTGCATTCTAGATTTCACAGATCTAGAGATGGAAAGGAATTTTGCCCTAGGATGGACTATGCACAGATTCGCACCCATACTTGATTTAGATGACTCAGAAGATGAGATTTTGAACTTAGAGTTTATTTAAGACTTTTGGGATGATGTGATGGAGTGAATATGCTTTGTATGTGGGAAGGACATGAATTTTGGGGGGCCAAAGAGTGGAATTTTATTGAATTGTATACCCCATAAAATATGTGTTGTAAATCCTAAACTCTACTCCTGTGGATGTGATCCCATTTGGAAGTAGGGTCTTTTTTGTTATGTTAATAAGGCCATATCAGTGTAGAGTGTTTCTTAAGCCAATCACTTTTGAGATGTAAAAGGAGCAAATCAGACACAGAGGAGAGCAAGCAAAAAGGAAGGGGAAAATACATGCCACATGAAGATCACCAAGGAACCCAGGGACAGAAGCTGAAAAGAAACGACATTCCTCCAGAGCCGACACAGACAGGAAGCCTTCTCCTAGGGCCAGCACCTTAAATTTGGGCTTCTAGCCTCCTAAACTGAGAGAAAATAAGTTTCTGCCCATTAAAGCCACCCACTTGTGATATTTCTGTTACAGCAGCACTAGGAAACTAAGACAGTATGTGTGTACTTTTTTACTATTACCTGCAGTAACCCATGGGAGATATGACTTTCCTTTTCAAATATTTTTTAATGAAGCAATGACTTTTGAAAGGTAAGGTAACCATGGAACTCCAGGATCCAGTCACAGTCCCTGGCCTAAAGAAGACATGCATTTTATAGGGACTGAATCAGGAACATTTACAACTTTACCACGTAATAAATAGCCTCCTGAGTCAAAGACAGTCAAGAACACTCTTCTTGGTCTTGCACAAATGGAGCTGATGTGCAGCGGCTTCCCTTTCTTGCATCATTGCCACCAGGAATAACTACTACACACGCACTGGAGTTCCCCCTGGAATCTAAAGTGGGGCATAAGTCACAGGTATTTTTGGTAATGGCTCGGAACTAAAATTATCTTTAATCTTTATGAGTGTTTTAAAATGAAAGGACTCTTCTAACACTTTATTAAAAATGTTGATATATTTATTTTAATAAGACTAAACTCTGGAAGCTACATGAACTATATGTGAGTAACGGGGAGAAAGACCCAAGACTTTCCTTGATTAGTTTCACTACTCTCTCTTTTTCTTAATTCTACTTTTCCACTGGTTGAAGAATGATCACCTTTTACACAAAGATTCACTTTAAAGATCTCAACCTTTGTTGAAAATAAAACTTCCTCCTAGGTATGAGAAGTAGAAGGGCTTGCAGAATACTATAGTGAAGCAGAATCTTTCCAAAGTGATTTGTTAATGGATGGCAGAAGGAAAATTATTTTATTTCAGGGGTTCTTCAGTAAGTTGTAAGCTCTTTCAGGGAAGAGATCATATTCACCTTTGTATTCCCAATCACTAGCACTGTGCACAACTATACGGATTTATGTATAAATAAATGTTCAGTTTCCACATACACACCATGAAATGAAATTGTCAACTTTCAGAAAGGCTGAAAAATCTACTCAGCCTAAAGCAAAAGCTGAGAGGGTTTAGTAAACACATAAGAAAAAAGAGTGCTTTTAACTAGCTAAAAGAGAAACTGTTCTAGAGGAAAAGATTGAATAAGGAGAGAGCGTGCTGGTGATTTTAAGAGGATTTTGAGTGTTACCTTCCTTCACGCTGAGAGCCTCCAGTTTGGCTGGCAAATCTGAGGTTCTGCCTGTAGCAGCTGAACTTTGGATATCTGGTAAGGCATTCCGGCGGCCTGCCCTTGCTGAAGATGCGAAACTGGTGACCACAGACTCCACATCAGTCATTTCTGATGAATCTTTCCTCATAGCAGCATCTACAAATAGAATGTGCACATGAAGAAGAGGATCAGCCTATTCAAGGAAAATATTCATAACAGTGGCTAGATCAAAAACACAAAACACAACAGGCTCAGAATTGAATCATTGATTCACGCTCTTCATCTATAGCTACTGTTATGGTCCTGGAGCTTCCATTTGCGCACATTTGCTGAATAGAACAGGAAGTCCTCAGTGTGAGCCAGACTGCTATAAATACCCCCTGAGCCGAACGAGCCACTTGGATGCTTTAGGGTGCAGTAATCCCTTGCTTTTGTTCTGCTTTTCTATGGACGGATCAGCCAAACTTGGGCTTGGAAGGAAATGAACACTGACTTGTTTGGCCACTCCTGTAGAGACACTTCCTACCGATTATTTGCTGTGGTGCTTGTTCAAGCTGAAACCAAATCACTATAATTTGCAGGGACCAAACAAAATGCACTCTGTTCCTACCCTTAAGAAATGAGAAATTCAACTCAAAGGGTTTTTTTAATCCCCAGAAAGAGTTATGCATTTTGATTTTTTTGTAGTCTCAGACCTATTTTTTTTTTAAACTTTTTTTTTTTATTGTACTTTAGGTGAAGGTTTACAGAACAAATAGTTTCTCATTACACAGTCAGTATACATATTGTTTTATGACATTGGTTAACAAACCCACATGTCAACACTCTCCCTTCTCGAGCTTGGAGGATCTTCTTTCTTTTTTTGTGAAAATATACATAGTCAAAGATACACCACTTCAAAAATTTCTACATGTACAATTTAGTGACATCAATTACATTCTTCCAGTTGTGCTACTATTCTCACTATCCTTTTCCAAATTATTCCAACACCATTATCTTCAACTCACTGCCCCCTAGGCTTCCCATCAAAGCTTCTGAGTTGCTGTTGTCAATCTGTCTCACACAGATAATTCTTTTTTTTGCACTTTAGATGAAGGTTTACAGAACAGAATAGTTTCTCATTAAACAGTGAGTACACATATTGCCCTATTACAATGGTTAACAACCCCATGACATGTCAACACTGTCAGACCTAATTTTTAATGGACTCATATTTATGTTAGGGAAAGTAGGGCCTGCTTTACCTTTTCTTGCCTTCAAGTGGACATGGTAATTATAAGCACTTTCTTAAGCATTTTTGAATTTCCTAGCAACTGTCTCTAAGAAAGAATTCTAAACAGTTAATTCACTATATAGGGTGGTAGGTAGCAGATATTGCTTATTCTAGAATTAATCCTCTTTCATATGATATTTTCTAATGAACCTTTCCTAAGAAGTCAATACCTAATGGTATCTCAAAAGCAGCAGCAGAAGCAGGCATTTACTGAGAACCTACTGAGTTCCAGGCTCTCAGCTAGGCATTGAGAGTACAGAGGTATGATATACCCTCCATCAACTGAGGACTTACATTTTCAAAGAGGAGAAAGAAAGTAGATAACATCATAACATCTAACGTGCTACAATAATCATTTGTGGCACATAAGAGGGCAGAAATATGTGAACGCTGGCTTACACAAAGCAAACCAAACTTTTCACTGTATTTGGAAGGGAGGCCTTTCCAAATAATTTAATTCAGGAAATGATAAAACTGAAGTGAAATTGTCAGAAAACATTGTGCATTTGATATTAGAAATGCAATTCCTATGGACCACAGCACCAGAGAAACATATGTCAAGCTTACTGTAGTCCTCAGGAGTCCAACAGTAGTCTGGAATTGCCCTAGAAAGAAGCCATTCTATGACTTTTCCAGACAGTCTGGACTTTCTAGGAACCATGGGAAATTTGAGAACAATGGTAGGATTTTAGACACAATTTTGAGATCAATTAGACTTCCAATTATTTCATATTTACTAACTCTCTGGCATTGACAGGCAGCACGGAGTAATGAAAATAGCACTGGACTATTAAGAAAAAAAAAACCTTTACTACATTATAGGCTAGCAAGATGATATTCATTAATCCATTTAATTTTTTCTAGCCACAGTTCCTCTCCTATATAATGAGTATAATAACTAGCCTGTCTGATTCATACAATTCTTGTGAAGAAATAATAAGATAAAGGATACAGAAATACTTTTTTCAACTATAAAACTGTATGTTTGATTATTGGCATCATTGTTCATATCTTACTAAGTTTTCTTTTTTCCATCACCCCCCTGGGTATCCCTATGAATCCTAACAAGAAACATCTTTGTACTGGAAGACCTCTTGACTTTTCTAGGAGGGAAACCAGCATTTATTCAATACTACACAGTCATTTTTACATCTATTATCTCATTTAAACCTCCCAATATTCATATGAGATAGTGAGGTATGACCCTCACTTTGCGGATGTGGAAACTGGAGCTCAGAGAGGTTAAGAGCCCCATTTAAAGTTGCACAGCTGTTAATCTAGCGCTCAGGGATACAAATCCAGTTTTAGTTCACTCTGAAAACAAGAAGACATGGATAGTCACAAAAGAGCCCTTCAGCCTTTTGAAAAAAATATCTTTTCCAAATCCCTTTAATACAAACAGACAGCCATACAGCAGCTACTTTGGGTTATATATATATATATATCACATATAATTTATATATCTATACCTATACGAGTCCCTGGGTGGCACAAATGGTTAAGCGCTCTCCTACTAGCTGAAGGGTTGGTGGTTTAAACTCACCCAGAGGCACCTCAAAAGACACGTCTGGTGATCTACTTCTGAAAGGTTATAGCCTTCAAAACCCTAGGGAGCAGTTCTCCTCTGCACACATGAAGTTGCCATGAGTTGGAATCGACTCGACAGCTACTAACCGCAGTAGTTAACTAGCTGTAGAAACAGACGGAAAGAGACAGAGAGAAGGAGGGGGCAGGGACATTCTATGCTAAACAAGCCTTAATCATAGATTTGCCATTTCTGGTCTTTTCATAGGTGTTCATCTATAGCTTGAATGTTTGGTTACTTGGTGAACCCCGCCCCTCCTCCATGATACATGAACTTCAATTAGAGTCTCTTTTCTACAGCTTGTGAGAAATGGCCTGATACAAGTTTGGGAGCAGACTCCATCTGCAGGCCTCCACTCTGTCTTCAGCCAATTAACATCACATGGGAAGCCATGATCAAGTGTTTATCTATGTGAAGCATCTTCCTGTATAACTGCAAACAAGTTAATTATGCCAGGCTTGGAGGAGCAGCTCCACGAACACCTTGATTGCTACTTGCCTGATAGTCCAAAATCTTAACATCAAAGACAACAATGGGTATAAACTATTAACAATATACTATTTTAAATATTTAAATGCTATGTATTTTGTATTAAATAAGATGGGTAACCTCTTTGAGTAAGATAGAATATGTTACCTATACTGAGTTGGAATTTGTATATTGAAAGGGAAATTCCAAAAGGTCTCACTGTGAGGAGAAGGCCAACAACACGAATTCTGAGCTCCAGGTTTATTTCAAGATTTCTTTGCCATTGGCTGGCTGCTATTTTGGAAGTTTTTGCTTTTGCCTCTATATTATTATTTCAGTCATAGGATTTCTAAATTAGTCCTTTTTGGGTAGATAGATGTTAGAAAACAAAATCATCACAAATTTTCTCAAAGTTATATTAATTAACTACCATTTAAAGATCCAAAACAGAACTGGTTATATAAGTAGGCCATGCAACAAGGCTGCTTTACTCTGGAACTTCATTTGATCATTTCTCAACTTGCTCTGGGCACCAGCTTCCCTTCAGAGGCCGCCACTGATGCTGAGTGACTAAGACATCCAGCTCCACCAGCTCAACCACAAGACAAGCCCGTTCCCCTAGCCCAGCCCCACAGGGCTATGAGGCATAGAGCTTTCTGCAGTGAAAAGTGGTCTTATTTTCCTGACAGAACCAGTCTGTGGCTGAGAGACCCCTGGCAGAAGCGTTTTGAACCTACAAAGTGATTCTTAAGTGGACTTTCTAAATCCCCTGGCAAGGAGGTTTACTGCAGCATTGGAAATAATCTGAAGTTCATCAGGAAAGTAATGGTTAAATAAATTATGTGTATCTATATTATGGAATATCATATAACTACTATAAAGAATGTGAGAACTAGTTATATTTATTTACCTATGGGGCATGTCCATGACACATTGTGAAATAAAGCAAGTTTAAAGAGTAATGTTTATAGTGTTTAAAAAATGGGAAAAGTAATGATTATTGATTATAAAGTGATCTCAATTTTGTGAAAAGAATAAAAACCCTAGGTGGGGATGGAAGAGCGAATGAGGAGAATATTCACATTTTTGGTACCTCTTTAGGTATGTTAATTTATTGTAATGAGTATATATTGCCTCTGTATTTAAGAAGAATTGAAACACATTCACCTGGCAAAATTATGACTTCACAGATATTTTAGCATAGAAAGTCTCTAAAAGAAAAATTTTAACAATTTAACCAAACAGTAGAAAATCTTTAAGAAAAAAAAAAGAAAGCCATTTTATTTGCCTGTTGTTATTGTCCTATACAACATTGCTTTCATATGCTTAATTTTTTAAAAGGGAATGATACGTATATGAACGAGGGGCAATTTCTCTCTTCAAATGCCTTGTGACATTTAAAAAACAAATAACCCATAGAAAGATGAGGAAACACTATGAAGAAAAATGGAAGACAGATTAGTTTCCAGGTTCTTTAATTTTCTGGGCTGAAAGCTTATTATGTCTATGTTTGCTAACCAAGGCAGCAGACTCACTAGGAACTCTTCCTCTTTTTCTTCTGTAGAATTAGCAGAGGAATCTGGATGAGTTCTGCTTTATCAGCTGTGACCACCTACAGGAGCTGGAACCATTTGGACATTTGGAGATTTAGCAGAAGTCCTTGCATGCTCACAGCAAGGTAAAAATGCCATTTTACATTGCCCAGGACGCACTTGCATCTCAATTGAAAATAAATATTTTTCAGGATGCCTTAACAAAAGGCCAGTAGACAATCTTATACAGACGTACACACACACACACACAAACACACATACCAGCATCTCTGCAGTC